GAATGAGGGTTTAATGCTTGAGTTGATAATATTGATGAAATTTAACTTGGTTGATTGTAGTATTTGGCTCTTGGTCACCCATTAGATTGGAAATTCAAGTTTGGAAGCTAGTAAATTGAGGGGTAAACCTTTGACCTCTCAAAAGTTTGAGGTAACCGAGGGAAACTCTACATTGGATAGTTATATATTAATTAATGGATTGTAAATTGATTTTTATTATGAATGTGGCATGCATAGGTTGATTTTCAATGTGTAAAGTATGTGCTAGTTTCAATGAGCATATAGGAAATTGAATGTGCATAAAGTTATATTGATTTGAAATGCATATGCCTAGTTAAGATTTTTTTTTAAATATGATCATGCATATGTCTTTAGAAAAGTGAATGTGATGCTTATGTGAGATAGACATGTGTTAATGAGAAAGGGATTTTAAGAAAATGATGAGAATACATACTTGAGTAGCACATGGTCATGAGCTTAACGTGATTGTTGTAATAATGAGTAAAGGAAAATGAAAAAGGGAAAACAAGTGAGTAATTATTTATGACATAATCGGTGGCAGGAGTCCACCTAGGGATTAGGAGTAGAGAAAATCTATATAGTATTTAGGCTATCCTCTGGTGCACGAGGTAAGCCTTGTCTCATAGTTTATCAAGGGACTGTCCCATAGTTTGTCGAAAGACTAGAACCTAGCTATCTTTACCGATTCAATGAGGAGAATAGCCTAGGGTATGAGACACCCCAGGGATTCAAGAATAGGGAAAGCCGTGGTCCAAGAGTGAGTCTTGTAATCTTTGGCCGGATCATATCTCACGATTGGTGAGCTTAGGTAGTCCAGTCACACAGATGAAGCCCTAATCAGTGTTATAGCCCACGATTTCGGTCCGAGGAAATAAGGAGCATATAAGGTTGGTTGATCATTACCTAAGTAAATATATGATGTGTCACATATAATAAGTGATGGCAAGTCACGTGAATAGTGGGTCATGTCACATATCAAAGAATATGGTGACAATGTACCTAATTTATGAGAGATAAAGAAGTTATTTAATGATAAATGACAAATTATGATATATATGAGCTTGTTTTACATACTTGATTTCTTATGCATGTACTTAATTTATGATTGATATATAACTGCATAGGGTAGGTTCAACCTTAGTTACTGAGTGGCTAGACTCACCTCTTCCATTTAACATTTTTCAGGCTCTAGCTCTGGTGCTGAGAGGGAGGAGGCTAAAGAGGTTAGGAATTAGCATATTCTTTTCTATATGCCTCTAGCTTAGTTTATTTTGTGTAATAGTATATGTTTGCCAATTCTAGGAGGCATGCCATGACACTTGCACTATTTTATTGTTAGAAATGTTAGATTTGTATTTCGAGCCCTAAGTCTTTGTGTTGTTGAGATATATATGTTATAAGGCTAAAATACTAGTGCAAGTGTATAAGTGATAATTTGAACATGTTTTGAATGATTTGGGTGAAATGCAATGACAATTTACCTCCCCCTCTATTTTTGGTAAAATTGGGGTTGAGGAGTGAATTTTTGGTTATACTATTGTTTTAGTGCTTGTGACATGTTGTACTGGCAATCTTAGGTCCATTGGGCATGATCTAGGTGTTAGGAAAGGTTTTTGACATATGTAGAGGGTTTTGGACACCCTTTTTATGTAAAAGTGTTGAAAAGTAATTAAAATGTGTTTGGGCATCCAACTTTCTAGTGTGACTTGCTTTTGAAAGTGAAACTCATGCCATTAGATAGCTCATGTAAAGAGCTTTCTGTAGACACCTAGATCATGCCATTCAGACGTCGGATGGAGAATCGGGGCTTGTCAGAAGTTCCCCAATTCTACTATCAAATGACAACAGAATCAAATAAAATTTCATGCAACACGCCACAGCGCATGGTGCCTGAGCCACGACATGTGGCACAAACAATAACACATCATGGCACAGCGTGCACGAGTCACGGAGTATTGCCTTGTATCACAGCACATGTTTTGTTTTTCAATTGTTTTCGACTTCTTTCACTTCTCTGAGGTATCCCATACTTTCAAAATTTATTTTTACTCTGATATAAAGGATTTTAATTGATTTAAATTCATTGTTATTTAGAAAACTTGAGATCCTTTACTTTTGAACTAAGCCTTGGTGATCATTCTTTAAGTTAATCTTTTGATTACCATGAATTTTATTAGTTAATTGGATTTAGAAGAGTGAGTATTTTACACAACTCGCCATCTCCTCCCTCCATCTCGCATGCCTAGGGATAATGCTGACTAGAGAAGGGTCAAGGGTCAGGAGCTCTCCTCAGTTGTCGAACCCGTCTCTATATTATAGAAGCTAAAGCTGCGAGATGGGGACGGCGTAGGTGTGAGTGGGAGTTGCATTGGGGTTGATGGTAATAGGAAGATGGTGTGAAGTAGAGAGGGATAATGCAATCAGAAGGAAGGAAAGGAGGAGAAGGTGAGAGTGGAAGAGAGATATGGAGCGGGGCATGAAGAAGATGACTTTTTGTCTTCAAGGCAGAAAAAGAGAAGTAGATCGTTGACTGATCATGATTGTGGGACCCACCAATAAATTAACTAACATTCTTTTAACTGTCCAGGTAAAATTGTGCTCGTTTATATTTAGATAAGAAGAAAAGTTAACAGGTAAAAAACATATAAAAAATAAAAAAAATTAAAAAATAATTTCACTCATTATATTTGGATGGATAGGAGAAAATAAAAAGAAAAAAAATAAAGAAATATTATAATGACTATAATACCCTGATATCATTATATATCATATCTAATGTAATTATTTTTGTAAAAATAAATTAAAAGAATAAATTATATTAAAATTAACATCATCATATTAATTTAAAATCAAATTAATTGTTAAAAAATGTAAAAAGCTAAAGACACAAATTTTGTTTCTATTTCTTAAAAATAAATTAATTATATTAAAATCAACATCATCAAATCAAATTATACTAAAATTAGTTGTTAAAATTAAATTAGTTTTGAAAAGTTAAAGACACAAATTTTTATGGAGATCAAAATCTAATTGTATGTGAGAAATTAATGTGATTGAAGCGGACAAAAAAGGGAGAAAGAGGGGAGGATAGGTAGTGGAAATAAGAATTTATTCTCAAAATGTCTCCACCTTTGGGGAGAAAAATTAGGAAAAAAATATGGTGGGTCTCACACATCATTTTCTTTCTAACTTTTCTTTTCTCTCACTTTTTCTTCTTCATCCAACTATGAGAAAACGTATTTTTTCTCTTATTTTCTCTCTAACCAAATAGAGTATTAAATATATTGGATGTTCTTAAAGAAAAATTTGATGGATATTTTACCTTTATAATACATGAAATATGACTTGAGAATTAAAAATTTTTACTTATAAATTATTAAATTATAATTGTAAGGAATGATAAATATATATATGGTTTCAACCTATTATTTTTTTGACCAACCTATTATTTATAAAATATGAAATATGACATATGACTTGTTATGTATAAGAAGAATTGTATACAAGTTTCACTCAAAATAATTAATTACTTCAGGTCTACTGACAATTGAGTTTAGGAGAATAATAAAAAATGTGTTTTTATTCTTCTGGACTCAATTGCCAATAAACATGTAAATAATTAATTGTTTTGAGTGAAATTTTAAAATAATTTTTTTTATTTATAAATAAATCTTTTGTACAAAACTTAGGATTTATCCATAAGTTTTCTTTATTTCTTAAAAATAATTTTTAAAAAAATATATTATCAATTATATTTTAAAACGCTGAAAATACTTAAATTTTTAACATCAAATTACATTTTTTAACAACGGGGTATCAGTTGTTAGCTGTCACCATTTGTGTGCTAAACAAAATCAAGGGATGAACACCGGAACCCTTTATAATACATGAAATATGACTTGAGAATTAAAAATTTTTACTTATAAATTATTAAATTATAATTGTAAGGAATGATAAATATATATATGGTTTCAACCTATTATTTTTTTGACCAACCTATTATTTATAAAATATGAAATATGACATATGACTTGTTATGTATAAAAAGAATTGTATACAAGTTTCACTCAAAATAATTAATTATTTCATGCCTACTGACAATTGAGTTTAGGAAAATAATAAAAAATGTATTTTTATTCTTCTGAACTCAATTGCCAATAAACATGTAAATAATTAATTGTTTTGAGTGAAATTTTAAAATAATTTTTTTTATTTATAAATAAATCTTTTGTACAAAACTTAGGATTTATCCGTAAGTTTTCTTTATTTCTTAAAAATAATTTTTAAAAAAATATATTATTAATTATATTTTAAAATTTTGAAAATACTTAAATTTTTAATATCAAGTTACATTTTTTAACAACGGATATCAGTTGTTAGTTGTCACCATTTGTGTGCTAAACAAAATCAAGGGATGAACACCGGAACCCTTTATAATACATGAAATATGACTTGAGAATTAAAAATTTTTACTTATAAATTATTAAATTATAATTGTAAGGAATGATAAATATATATATGGTTTCAACCTATTATTTTTTTGACCAACCTATTATTTATAAAATATGAAATATGACATATGACTTGTTATGTATAAAAAGAATTGTATACAAGTTTCACTCAAAATAATTAATTATTTCATGCCTACTGACAATTGAGTTTAGGAAAATAATAAAAAATGTATTTTTATTCTTCTGAACTCAATTGCCAATAAACATGTAAATAATTAATTGTTTTGAGTGAAATTTTAAAATAATTTTTTTTATTTATAAATAAATCTTTTGTACAAAACTTAGGATTTATCCGTAAGTTTTCTTTATTTTTTAAAAATAATTTTTAAAAAAATATATTATTAATTATATTTTAAAATTTTGAAAATACTTAAATTTTTAATATCAAGTTACATTTTTTAACAACGGATATCAGTTGTTAGTTGTCACCATTTGTGTGCTAAACAAAATCAAGGGATGAACACCGGAACACTCTAGAACCTAACAAACGTATTCGAAAAAGGGTTTAGGGTCGTTTCCTTGTGCCCTCTTCGCTGCCTCACACTTCTCTTCCCTTCGCTCTCTGAATCCTTATCCATGGCCTCCTCCTTCCTTACCTTTCCAAAACATTTTCTTTGCCCCGCTGCTTCTTCCTTCTCTTCGTCTAACCGCAGACTTACAGGTACCTGTAGCTCTATCTCATTTCCGTTTCTTCTCTTCAAAATCTCCACCTTTCTAATTTCTGTACGTTTTTCTTTAATTATGGAGGTTTACGGGAGAACTCATTGAAGGTTAATGCAATTGTGAAGAAATGGGAACCCACAAAGGTTTGTACGAAATTTGGTTGTTTTGCTTGTTCTGTAACGTTTAATTTCGTAATTACTGTTTGAAAGTCGTTTTGCTTTTGACTCTGCATTATGAATGTGGGTTTCAGGTGGTTCCTCAGGCTGATAGAGTTCTTATTCGTTTGGATGAGCCTGAACAAGTATGGCATAAACTTCTCTTTGTATTTGATATATGACTTTGATGTTGTTTAAGTTGATTGTTTAGTCTTCTCAATTGGTAGTGAGGTGTAAGTTGCAAGTACAATATATGTGAACTAATTAAAAAGATTTAATGCTGAAGTCCGAATATTTTTGTGGTGCTTTATTGATGGTTTTACCCCCTTCGGCTTGCTTTCAACCTTTTATATTTATCTTGAAGGTAAACCTTACGCGCTAGTTGTTATATAAGTATTTTTTTTTTTATAGGGATTGATCAATGAACAAAATGAATGTGGGAGTTTACAGCTTTTGCTTTCCAAATTCACATAGCTATACACAAATGCTGTTATGATATGTTTCTTTTGTTTGTATGATCTCTTCATTTGGGCAGTGCAATTGATTTTGCTTGATTCCACTTTCTTGTCTGCTAATTAATGCTTTTATGATTATTTACTCCCATTCTCTTGTAAAGCTTTTCCTTTCAAGTGGTGCACTGTGATAAAGGTTCCTTTCTGTTTTTTCTTCAAAGCAAAATTGTCACTGATGAAGACTTCCTTATAGATAGAAGTGTGTTCCTGGAATTTTCCTTTTCAAATCTTTTGATTTTATGCCTGGTAGATCAACTACAGAGGCGATTTATCTACTAAGGGGATTAATGGAAAAGTATCGTTGTAAAGATAAAGATTTACACATGGTTTTTATTGATTTGGAAAAAACTTATGACCGTATACCAAGAGAAGTACTTTGAAAAGCGTCGGAAAAAAAGGGAGTACGGATTGCTTATATTAAAGCCATACAAGATATGCATGAGGGGGTAAAAACTAGCATAAGAACGTCTAGTGGTCAAATAAAGGATTTTCCTATAAAGATTGGATTACATCAGGGATCATCTCTTAGTCCTTATCTGTTCAACTTGATCCTAAATGTTTTGACGGAACATATTCAAGGGGAAATTTTCAAATGTATGCTCTTCGCGGATGATATAGTTCTTATGGCAGAGACAAGAGAAGAGGTTAATTGCAAACTTGAGTTATGGAGGAGGACATTGGAGTCGAAAGGTTTCCGTCTGAGTAGGAGTAAGACGGAATATTTATATTGCAAATTTGGTAAGAGGCTATTTGACAATAATTTAGAAGTAAAATTAGGAGATCAAATTATACCTCAAATGGAAAAGTTTAGATATTTGGGAGCCATTATTCAAAATGATAGCAAAATCAGTGGAGATATTTTACATAGGATTCAAACTGGATGGTTTAATTGGAAAAAAGATAAAGGAGTTATTTGCGACCGTAAGGTGCCTAATAAACTTAAAAGAAAGTTTTATCGCACTGCTATTATACTGGCAATGTTATAAAGTAGTGAATGCTGAGCTCTAACGGGACAGCAAGAGCATAAAGTTGGAGTAGCAGAAATAAAAATGTTACGATGGATGTGCGGACGTATACGTAAAAATAAAATTCGAAATGAGCACGTACGCGAAAAAGTAAGGGTAGCACCTATTGAGAAAAAAATGGTAGAAAATCGGTTGAGATGGTTTGGATATGTACAAAGAAGACCAAGGGAGGCACCAGTGAGAAGAGTGGAGCATATAACTTTGAGTCTGATTAAGAGGGGTAGAGGAAGGCCTAAGAGAACACTCTTGGAAGTTGTTGAACACGATCTCTTAATTAATAATATTTCTAAAAGCTTGATAAATGATAGAGCACAATGGCGTCTTGCAATCTATGTAGCCGACCCCACCTAGTGGGATAAAGGCTTGTTGTTGTTGTTGTTGTTGTATATCTCATTATACAACTGGCTGATTTAAGCCTAGAATATTGACATTCAATTCTAGATGTAATTATAAATGTTCTAGGATTGAATAGTTTAGCTGAATTATGTAATATATTATTATTTGATTTGACTGTAATTATAAGATAACAAATTATGCCCAACATTTTGCAACCGAACAAGAAACTTTGTCATTTTACATTTAATATCTTAAGCTATAATATAACATTTATAATTTATGATAGAATAAATATGGGTTTCGAAGATGCACTTTAGTTTGGTTATGTATATGCATGGACAGAAGTTGTATCTGATACAGAGAAGGAAAAATGGAAAAAAAATGTCATAATATCTATTGTCTAGGTTATTGTGACTAGCACTGCTAAAGTATTACCTGAAAATGAATTACTAGATTAACTGTGGTATCATCAATTGGCATTGTTATCGTTCCCATTATTGGTGTGGCTTAATTTTCATAAGATTTTCCTCCCTTTTGATATATTGAAAACCATTGCCATGTTCTATACCTAATTTATGATTGTACTCGAGTGCAGAAAACTAGGGGTGGAGTCTTGCTGCCAAAGTCAGCTGTTAAGTTTGAGCGATATCTAATGGGAGAAGTAAGCAGATTTGGAACCCTGTGGTTTTTTAAGGGCCAAAAACTTTTCTCTTTGGTAACTTTGTTTTTGATGGTCTACCTTTATAATTTGCTAATTTTCTTCATCTATATTCAGATTCTTTCTGTTGGGGCAGAGGTTCAAGAAGTAGGGGCTGGCAAGAAGGTTAGCTTTTGATTATCATGAAACAGTAGTATTATTCATGTAGCATGATAATAGTTATCACATTGTTGGTCCATCCCTTTGGTTACTTGTCGGATCAAATGTTAATGCAGTTGCTACCTGTGGCTTCTTAGGCAAGTTACTTGCCTGCCCATGTTTTGATGGATTTATTGGAGAGTACATTTTTTTTTTCTTGGTTGGATTGGGTTTAGTATTGGTTTTATGATATATTTGAGTCGTCAGTAGTTCTGTTATATTTTGATTGAACTCTGTTATAAGTCAAATAACAATGATTTTGCCAGAGTTTAGGTCTAAGTAGAATAGCTGAGTTTTGGAAAGATGTAAAAACACCCAAGAAGAACAGAACACTTCTACCAATTGAAGATGCTAGGCTTTCCACCTAATCTTGGTGGTTGCTTAACTCCTTCTGCCCCTAAACCCCACAATATCTCTCAATCTCACACCTCACCCACCCCATGTGAGTTAGCTTGTCCCATCAGTTATGGGCCCATCATTTTGGTCACAATTTTTGCCTTATTAGTTTTCTGTCAAGTATGTTTCTGTTTCTATTTGATCTCTGTTTAATGTAAACCTACCAATGATTGCATTGTTTTAAATTTCTTCTGTATAGGGGGAATTTAGTTGTCGTTTGATCACCTTGGTGAGGAATATGATTTTGATGTGACTGATGAATATCCTTTTGCAGGTATTATTCTCTGACGTAAATGCTTATGAGGTGAGTTGCATAGCTATCTTGGCTTTAACTAAGATTATTTGATGAAGTGCTTTATCAACTAACCTGTAAACCTGATTGGTTAGAAATTTCCTTAATTTTTGGCTAAAAAAGTATATAACATGTGATAAAAAACTTGAAGGTGATGTATTTTCTGTGGAAAATTCCACTAAAGGGCCCATGATTATATAATTTTGACAATTTAGAACCTTGAAAATTGAAATCTCTCTTGAGGACTGTATAAATGAGTTACACCATTGGCGATAGATACAATTTGGTCTTCCCAATTTCATTAGAATGTTATAGATTTACTCATGGGCGAAAATGCTTTTGGAACATTCGGAAGGCTAGATTATAATTTACGAAAGGACAAGTGATGAATTTGGAAGCACCAATGGTAACTTATTTTCCTAGTTCTCTCTTGAGAGCAATTTTAATTTTTAAGATCTTTAAACTGTTAAGATCCTTTTAACTATTTCACTAGAATTAAGGAATGCAGCTAATTTAGGCTGTGGCATGAAATTTGTCCATTGTTTTGTTTTCCATAATTTCCCTTAAAATTAATGAGATCCCATTCTCTTGCTAATCTCTTTTGCCTAATTAATCAAAGGGCATTTTTGTGAAAAAAATAATTAGTGCAGTAGAAAATTGGAAAGGGCCTTATAGAAAGGATCAAGACAATCCAAAATTTTCTTACCGTAGGGACCAGAAGGGGGTTATTTTGGGACCCTAAGTTTCATATTTCCTATTCTTTACTGATCTTTATTTGGATCACACATACGGACCCTATCAATAAGGAACTAATATTACCAAGCTCTTTTTTGTTAAAGGAAGGGGAAAAAAAAAAACTGAGGTCCTTAGCATGGCACCAATGTTTCTACGTGTATATTATTTATAGCAAATGTACTATTTACAAGTAATGAATAATGTGATTCATTTATCAAATTTTATGTAAATACATGGAAACGAGGAAACAAACCTTTGACAAATTGAAGCTCTTGCTTCTAATTATGAATTGTTAGCATTGCGGGCCTTTTCTTTTTCAATGCGTCAGTCTGTTCAGCATCGCATTTGTTGAAATGAAGGTTGCGATATGATCACTAGAAGAGCAGCTGGATGGGGTGAAAGAATTTTATAGGTGGGGTTTAGTTTGAGATCATGTTCATTCTCTCGTTTCATTCCCCTGACGCCCCCTGGGGCCGGCAGGAGGAGTACCTGTATAGAACCTAATTCCTTGCTCCATTGCTTTTTCTTGCTTGAGAGATTTTTTATGAACTTCTAACTTGAGATCCTGATCCTTGTTATAAAATATTTTCCAGTTAATATACTGGCTTCTTATGTCATTATTTATGAATTGGTATTAATAGTTGGAATGTGATGTCAGGTGGATTTGGGAACTGATGCAAAGCATTGCTTCTGTAAAGAAAGTGATTTATTGGCCGTGGTTGAGTAGAGTTTGGTATTTGTTTGCATGAGGATTAAGAGGACTGAGCAGCCTTGATGTTGATGATATTCCTGGCAATTCTATTAAAGAGAAATGATATTTTAGCAGTCAATTCTTGCTTCATTAGCTTAAATTTTGCAAGACTGGTGTATGTTGCAACGGATGAATGTATCCGTTGCACATCTTTTTGAGATGTGGAGGGTACATACTTTTTTCAGATGAGTTAAGTTTAAACTTTATTATCTTTTTATTTAATTTCATTTTAAAAAAATTGAATAAACTTGATGTTCTAGATTAAATAAAGATTCTTGGTAACAACAATTAAGGGTGTTTAAAATCGATCCAAACTGAATGAACCAAACCAAATCGATCCGAATCAAAATGAACCAATCAAAATTGATCATTGATCAAGTCTGCTTCGATTTCTATGACACTCAAATAGATTAGTTTGGTTTGATTTTGATTTTGAGATATGAAAACTGATTTGAACTTGAGCCAAGTTTGATTAAAAATAATATTTATTTATATAATATGTATTTAATTAAATATATAAGTTTTTTTTTTGGATATTAGGTAGTTGATGTAATTTAAGTGGATATTATGACATTGAGGGATGGATATTCGATATTATGTTTTAAATATATATATATATATATATATTTAATATTAAATAACGTGATATTTGAAATTTTTAATATTTAATTTTGAGATATTTGTATGTCTGCTACTTACTATAAGGCGATGAATTTTCTCCATGAAAATACAAATAGTGCATCTAATATAATCATGAAGATGATTAGTTAATCACCATCATTATTTTAATTTTTTATTACTTGCAATCATAAAATTAATTTGTATTATATATATATATATATATAGAGTACATTCAAGGCCAATGAAATGAAGAGATGAATATGATTAATATAACATGAATGTTTTTTTTTTATCTTTGATTTATTTGAGACCAAGCAAAACATAAATAAAAAAATAGATGAACATGTATGTATATGATATATGATTAATTAAGGTTCAAAAAATTTTTAATTTTCATAAATATGTTATGATTGTGATTGAAATAAAGCACAGGATAAGCAAGGACTTTTGATATAATAAAGAGCTAACAATGCATAAATTAATTCAAAATAAAAGAAATTCAACTATTACAAAGATGAAAAAAAGGAAAAAAAATCAAATAAATTCATTGAAAGTTGATTTAAATCTTAACCAAATCAAAACAAAAATCGAACTAAATTGATTTCAGTTGAAACCAATCAAGTTTCACTAATGTTCAAATCGATTAGTTCGGTTCGGTTTGATTTTTGCCTAGAATCAAATCAAACCAAACCTGTGAACACTCTTGACAATAGTAGATGGATTTAGTGATAAGAGATTTGTCATCTCTTAAGCAAAGATGGGCAGGGGGAGAGCTTTTTTCTAGTTGAGGTTGAACTACTAAATGGTTTCTAAGTGAAACCAAGAAGCTCATATAATTTCACAGCCCCTGTAGCCTAGGCCTTATATTTTGATTTCTTACAACTCCGTTCTTATAATTTTGTATGTTATCAATCTTAATTCGTGTTATTTAGATAACATTCATAGTTCCTCATAACCCATCCTAGGTGGTAGCTTGTAAGATTAACCCTGTTAAACACTTCTCAAGTGGCATCCTAGTCAATGCTACATCAAGGTAAAAGGGGAAGAAAACCTGTAACTTGCACATTGTATTTAAGTGATGTTTGGTATATGAAAAAAAGTGTTTTCTTAAAAGAAAATGAGAAATGTGCCGAGAGAAAAAGAATGAGATAGGTGCATTTCTTATTCTTTTAAAAAATATTTTTCTACCAATCAAGCATTACATTATAGCTGTAATGATGGTGGGGAGGGAGATGTTAAAGAATCAACAAAGGGAAGAGGAGAGCCTGGTTTTTAATTTGGAGCTAATGGTGGAAGGAACGGAAGGAGAAAAGGCTCTGCGTATGAGCCCATGAGGTTAGTGGAGATGAAATATATTGCGATGATTAGGAGGGATTCTATTGCTGCTGGTAATGGTGGCGTTGGTGCTGTTCTGTTGAGGGTGATCATATGCTTTTTTCATGGTGCGTGTAGCAAGAGGGAGAGGAATATACAATCTAATAGCATGTAAGTTCTTATGTTAATGGGAGGTTATGGGTTCGATTTTATTTGTTACTTCAAATATTTTTCTAATTCCAAAAGGGAAAAAAAAAAAAAAACACACGCACACACACATGGTAGAGTTTGAGTAAAGGATGACATATGTGATTTATCTTCAAATTATGCCCGATAGATTTTGCATTTTCGCTAAAGAATTAAAGGACTAAAGGGAAACTATGTGTTGATTTCAAATTATTGCAATATTCTTTATTTATCTTTAAAAATATTTTAGTCACTGTTGCGGGAGGCCCACCGCCATTGCTGCTTCGGCACTAGACTTCTATGTTCTACCACCGTCATCAAAGCTCCAGTGACTGGCAGCATTTGGAGAATTTTCCGAGTCAATCTTTGTATGTCAAGAAAAATTTTCACTGTCAAGCCAAAAACACTCCTAATTTCGAGAATAGGGTATACAAAATTCACCTTCTTTATTTTAATAATGGCTCTTCTTTCTATTTTCCATGAGTCAAATTTTAAAAGTTTTTTTTAATTCCTAATATAGGGCAAAGTTAGATCAATTTTTTTTTCAAAGTCTCTTATTTAGTTATCATCCTTTGAATTTATTGGCAACAATTTGTTATGATTATTAATTTAAAAAAAAGGTAAAATTAAAAAATTACCTATATTTTTTTTTAACAATTTCAACAATATAAATATCATTTCTTAAGGAGTACATTTAATTCATATTATAAAGCACCTCTAAGTACCAATGACATATATTTAAATTATTAAATTTTCTTGAAAATTTAATAAACTTTCAATGTCCTATTTAAATGAAATTTTTAAAATTTATATTACATTTTCTTTTATAGTTAATAAACTTAAATATGAATGATATTAACAAAGCGTAACAAGTGCCTCATATTGATTACTCATTAATTCTAAAAGGAGCAGTACATTTAAACATTGGTCGGTGTTATGACAGCTACAAGAACTGATAAAGCTTCATTATTGGCACATGGGAGTTACATAGCAATAACGTTATTGTTGTTATGATGGACAAGGGAGAATGACAAAAAAATTTTAAAAAAATTAATTAATTTAAATTAAATTTTAAGTGTCAAACTCCATAAATTTACAACTCAATCTCTTAATTTTACAATTTTATTGTGATAAATTTGTAACTTATATTATAAACTTTAACAAAATTTTTTTATTTTTCAATCATGTTAAAATTTAAAAAATAAGTTACAACAAGCTGCAAAAGAGAGACTTTTGTTGCAAATATATTCTCTTTCTCTTTCTTTTTAGTTTTTTTAAAATATTTTACCATGTCCTCAACATGATATGAGCATGGGCATGATTATGAATGGCATTATGATCAAGTGACAGTGACATCATTAGCCTAAGCATTTAATTTTTAACAATTTTTTTAAGAACACCTAATATTTTTAAGTGAATAAAAATGCAAAAGTATTAATAAACTTATTTTAATGAGTACAACAAGTCCCGTTCCATTAAATTTGATTGAGGTTCATTAACATTGATGGTTTATTAAAAAAAAGGAAGCAACTATATATAGATATAAAAATATTCATAAATTTTTTGCTTTAAGAGCTTCTGATATCCTAAAATTAATAATAATTGTGCATAGATACAATTAATTTTATAAAATAGGTCAACTTTCTCTAATATATTACTCCCTTTGTCCTTATATATAAAAAGTATTTTTAACTGAATCTTGCATACCAATAAAAGTTTGTTATTTAGTTAAACTCAAATAAAAACATAATAATTTTTAGTTTTACCCCTAATAATATCATAATTAATATCATGATGATGGTAGGAAAAACATGCATTTAATGATTTATTCTATTTTTTAAGACAAGGGTAAAATTGTCTGATCACTCAAAAGAATCATTGCCACTCTTTATATTTGGGGATAAAATAAATTTTTAAAAAATACCTTATATTTGGAGACGGTTAACGTTTAAGTTATTTTAATGGATTGAAAATGGTTAGAGCTAATACTTTAACCACGCTATCCCTTACAATCGAACTTCTCCAAAATATCGTACGCGTGCTGCAGTATCATCAAATAATCTTCAGTTTGGATTAAATTTAAGAGCTAGTTTGTTTAATGCTAGTAAAAAAAAAAAGTGATTCTAATTTTCACATTTGACTTGTTGAGAGAATATTAGGCAAATAATGTATAGTTTTGTTTTTTTGGCCTTTTCTTTTATAAGTTATCCCAAACAGCTTATAAAAATAAGTTTTTTTCTAACAATCTTTGCATGTTTAGTCTAAGTTCTCCCAACAACTTCATTTTTTTTTTTTTTGGATACACCGGGAAAAGGAGCAAACAAAACTAAACTAGAAAAAAACTAAACAAAATCATCATCCTCCAAAATCGAGCAATCCGCATCCTGATTAAACCTTGCCAATCCCAGTGCAACATTTGTTGAATCTCATATGCTAGATCAGACTTAATTTAAATTAAAGCCAGTGCCCCTATGCAATCACCATACATTCTCACGTGTCTGTACTGAATGTCCCAAGCCCCCTTAGTCCCATTTAGCAAAGCCCATAACTCTGCTGTGAGACTATCCCCATTTTGAAGCCTTGAAATGAACGATTCAAGACAATTACCATCGTGGTCTTTCATAAACCCGCCACATGCCCCGGTGGCCGTCATTTTAGCATAAGCCCCATCAACGTAAATCACAAGCATATCCACTGTCAGATTAAAAATCTCTTCCTGTACTGCAATACCCGTGTCTGGTATCACTACAATCAAACCTGTAATCTGGCACGCTTTCAGTTGCTCAATAGGCACGTTTTCAAAACATGGCAAAGTCTTCTATACCAATGATTGTAAAAAAAAAAAAAGAAAAGAAAGTGACTTTATCAATAATGGAAAGAACAAAGTCACGTTTTTTGCAGAAACCGTGGCTATTGTTTGGGTTTGACATTGCCAAACTTCAAGTGGCTCAAGCCATGATTTTTCAAAAACCATGGCAACAAGCTTATATTTTCTTAAGAAAATTATTTTCGGGAATTTAAAATTTAAAATTTTTTCATTAATGTAAATAATACAAAATTTATATTATTTTTTTGCAGAATTTAATTTTTAAAATATTTTT